TATCATATCCTAAGGGGAAAAGTCCCCCACACAAGGTTAGACAAGCCACTTACCTCGAACCGGCTCAAATCAATTTGCCACGAGTATCCGACTCCAAATGGCCCAAATCTATTAATTCATTTGCATAATGTAAATAACATCTCGAGCAATTGATTCTACTATTTAATTCAAAGCTAATACGCGATTTTATGTAAAATGACCAAAACGCCCCTCAGGCCAACATCTCGGAATCGGATGAATTTAACATTTTCAGAACCCTCGCACTCTCACGAGTCTAACTATATAAAAATCTCTCAATTCGGAGGTCAAACACCCACTCAAAACTCAATAATTCGGTCAATGAAGTTTTACTCATTCTCCATTCAAAAACCCGAAATTAGATGATGAAATTACTAAAGATTGATGGAATATAACTAGAAAGGGTTAAAGAAACGTTACCCAATGATCTCCTCTTCAAATCCCTTTCAGAATCGCCCTCTCCCGAGCTCCAATTTGATTTTTCTAACTTTTGAAACTAAACCCTCGAATTTTATATTTCTGCCCAGTGAAATCCGCATCTGCGGTCCCGCTTCTGCGGATCATTTGTCGCATCTGCGACTTTCATTAAGAGGGCCAGGAGCTGCATCTGCGGTTCTTCTTCCGCAGATGCGAAACCGCTTCTGCGGTGAAACTTCCGCATCTGCGGAACCTGAAGGACACCCAAAAATCTACATCTGCGGTACCACTAGCCGCATCTACGGTCCCCAAACCGCAGATGCGAAAATATCAGAAGCAGCAAAGTCTGCAATCTCTCAACTTCAAAAATCTTTCCGTCAACCATCCGAAATCATCTCGAGGCCCCCGGGACCTCCACCAAAAGCACCAATAACACCTAATACCTCATTCAAACTTGTACCAATCCTTAAGCCACCTAAAACAACATCGTAAACTCGAATTAATCAAGGATTTAAGCCTAAGAACTCCAAATTCCCTAAAATTACGTTTTCGATCAAAAACCTAACCAAATCACGTCCGAATGACATGAAACTTTGCACACACATCACAAATGACATAATAGAACTACTGCAACTCTCGGAATTCCATTCCGACCCTCAGATCAAAATCTCACTATCAAACCAGAAACTTCAAAATTTAATCTTTCGGCATTTCAAGCCTTAATTAGCTACGGACCTCCAAAACACAATCCGACTACGCCCCTAAACCCGAAATCACCTAACGGAGCTAACGGAACCATCGGATTTCCATTCCGAGGCCGTCTTCACACTGTTCCAACTACGGTCAATTTCCAACACTTAAGCTCTCATTTAGGGACTAAGTGTCCCAAAACTCTTCGAAACTCAAAATCGAACATCCCGGCAAATCAAAATAGCAGAAATAAACTTGGGAAAAATAGTTAATAGGGGATCGGGGCGTAAATTCCAAAAATGACCGGCCGGGTCGTTACAGGTATATTATATTGGAACTCCAGTATAATATGTTGGAGTTCCAGTATACTTATGCTGGAACTCCATTGTAATATACTGGAGTTCCAATATACTTATGCTGGAACTCCATTATAATATACTGGAGTTCCAATATAGTTATGCTGGATCTCCAGTATATTAGGCTGGACTATTTTTCGAATTTTGAACAGTGTTTTCGTTCAAATTTATCTTTATACAAAGCATCCTCCAGCCCACTTAGAATATAATTCTTGCACAAAAAATCTGAATGCCTCCACGCCTCAATCACGAGAAAGCGTTCAGTTTCTGGAGTTTCATCGGATAGCACAGGAACATCTTCCTTGATGAACTTCTGGAGACTTAGAGTAGTCAAATAGAAGAACATCTTTTGATGCCAGCGCTTGAAATCAATCTCGAAAAAATTTTCGGGTTTCTCCGCCGCTGCCAATGTTACCGGTGTTGTTCGGCTCGTTGAGGCATTGGCAGTCACCGTTGGAACAGCTTGGTTCACATTTTCACTAGTCATTTCTTTAAAAGAATGACACAAATGTTAAAATCACGTAGATTTTAATCTCCAATAGAGTACAAAATCCACAAAGGTTTTACTCTCCAAAAACAGTGAGTACAAATACAGAAAATATATTAAATTCCTTAAGCTTGTTACTATACTATATTTGTAAAAGAATTCTGGAAATATAAATGAACATAAACAGAAATGAACAACGAAATAACAGAAAACCAATTCGAGCCCACTGAATTCACAGTGTTTCCTTAAGGAATTTAATCCCCTCCTAGTACCCAAGGTTATGGATTATTTCCTCCCAGGATAGAACGAATTACACACTGGTGTAGTGGTACTTCAAACCCTAGTGTTTCAGCAAACACAAAGTTCGGTAGCAAATTGCACTTACTGTTGCTTTGATTGATGCTAAAAGTATACAGAAGAAGGAGGAGAAACTCAGAAAATCGTATGGAAATTCTGAGCAGAATAGTGTTGTATTTATAGCCAAAGTTGGGCAGAAATCTGAAGAGGTGCAACTCTTCAGAATGGCTGTTTATGCAAAACGCCCACATAATAAATGCCATTACATAAATGGCTATTTACTCAACAATAAAGAGGGAAAATAAAGAGGGAAAATTGAAGAGGGTAGTTAATTTTCTGTTACCAAAACAGAAAAACGGATTGGAGGATTTAATATTAATATTTATTTTAATATTAATATTCTGTTATTAAAACAAATATTTAATAACATTTCTGTTAATATTTTACTATTAACAAATAAATTTTGTCCAAAAAATTAATCAATCAATCATTTGACCGAATCCGAAGCCGAGCCGAGCGGGCGACGACGACGGCGGCGCGAGGCTTGTCTTCTTCTCAACTCTTTAAGAGCTAGAAGAAGAGCAATTGCTTATACACCCATAAAAAAACTCTTCCTCTTCCAATATGGGACAATGTCCCTTTACCAAGGGGGGAAACTTAAAATTTCACTCAAAAATTTCATTTCCCTCCATTTCCCATTCACCCTCTTTTAAGTATTTAATATATTAAATACATAAAAACCCAATAACTTTTGCATAAACAGTGTATTTGTATTAAGAAATTCACTAAATATAATATAAATATTAAATTTAGAACCAAGTTGTTGTTCTAACATTTAGAATCCATAAAGTTGAAATTCTGGCTACGCCTCTAATTTCTATTTTCGTTAAATAATCATGGTCATTTCTTTAGTCATACACAAATTAATCTTCAAGAGAATTAATCAAATACACAGCTCCATCATGGTTAGTTATTGTTAAATCACTTAGCCATAATAAGTTAATTTAATTTGGTTTAAAATATTTTATTCAGATAAATTTTTGTCGTGCCTTCTGTAGAAATATTTTTATTTTCTTGATAAATTACAACTGTCAAATCCAACAACGAATCTAACAGAAGAAAATGCATTTTACATTAACAGAAACGTTAAATCCATGAAAATAAGACCCAATACAAAGCGTATCAGGTGATATCTGTTGTTAAGGAGAATGGATTTCAGAGTGGAAACAAAACGGGTCCCTCCAATAAATACATTAATTAAAGTAATATTGTGTTTATCTAACTTGGGGCCCTAATTTCTCAATACTTTGCTATAAAAGTTTACATAATGCGTCAATGTTTGTTTTTTTCCTTTCAGAGTGTTAATATGAAATTCCAAAAGTTCGTCATCTACTTTGTATTCTCAGTTTGAGCAACAGCTCAGCTCTTTGCTAGTACTCCATTTCTAGCGAGTTCATTTGATGAAGCTCATCAGCTCAGCTCTAAGCTGATTAGCCCACACTTAATTTTCTTAATGCAGTTTATTTGAATTTGGAAAAATATATACAAGTAAAGAAACATTTTTGTGTTACTTCAGGTTTAGCATAAGTTATGTTTTAAGATTTTCTTTTTATTTAACTAATTTTTTCTCTTATTCTTTTTAATATTTAGCATGAGGCCTGACACTGACTGAAATAGCTTAGCTTTAAGGGGTTGTTTGTACGATGGATAAGCAACAATAATCCTAGGATAAAAATTTAGTGTCGTCTTATTCCTAGTTTAGTTAATAATTCATGAATATAAGTTATCACTGGATTAAAAATAATACCAGGATAACTTATACCTGTCAGAAGGTAGTAATCCCAGGATAAGTTATCCCAAGATAAAGCAGCAAAATTGACAACCTCAGGATTAATACAACATACTAAACAGTCCAGAATAACTAATCTCACCATAACTTGTCTTCAAACCAAACGACCCCTTAAATGCAAAGGCGCATGTAGTGTTCTACCAACAAGTTCAACTGAACCCATAACTTTCGATGCGAAGTAAAATCTTTATATAAAAATTTATTAAAATTATAAAAATAATATATATGAACCTATAACTTAAGAATATAATGGGTTCAATGCTAAAAACCTTAAAAGCTGAACCATAAGGTTTAAATGCCGGATCGCCTATGCTTAAATGGGCTTAGAAATATCCTACTTAACCAAACCCAATCAGTTAGGGGACTGAGTTGAGTTGGCCTGGCTCACGCGTTAAGTCCATTTTAACCCATTAAATTTTGAAGTGATTCCTTCTTATGTGTCTGCAGAAAAAGAATAAATGTGTAATATAGACTATAATTATGAACTGTAATGGGTACTATACACGATATTTGTTCATTGAAAATTGCAATTAGGTTCTAACGGATTAATGCTTGTTTATGTTTATCAGTAGAAGACCATCAAAAAACTCTCTCTTTAAAACAAAGCACTCTCAACGGTGACTTTCTATACCTCCATCTGAGCCACACGCTCTGATCCATGGAGCCTCCAAGCGACGGCCTTTCGACGGGTCTGGACCTGCAACAGGATCCTACCGATGGGGCGAAGCAGACCCATGAAACAATTTTAAGGAAAACCTCATACGCTACTACTCTTGGCACGACACTAAACTCCACTGCGACCCCAAGTCGTGAGGAACAAGAAGCTGTGATTACGAGACAAAGAGCTCATACTGGAATGACGACTGTAATTTTTAAGGCAAAAGGCTACTATGGGGTGATGGCTGAAGAGTATAAAAGAACCCTGGTTGGAAAATTTCTGAAAATTAGGCCCCACAATGATAAAACTAGGGGACAATTTTCAGAGAAATTCGCTCTGAAATGAACAATGAAGATAGGGGTGTATGACAACTATAATGTATTTCTAGATTTCACAAACGATGAAGACTTTGACATTATCATATTCAAGAGAGTGGTGGAAATTGCTGGTGCTTAAATGTGGCTACAAAAATGGACTCCGAATTTCAAACTGGATGAAGATCTGCCAATTGCAACTGTATGGGCATTACTCCCCGAACTACCATTTCATATGCATACTTGGCACTATGCCAAATAAGTTATAGGACCAGCAGGAACACCGTTGGAATTGGATATCGCCACTAAAACCAGAACCAAACCAAGCATGGCCAAGGTAAGAGCGCAAAATAGACCTTCTTAAACCTCTCCATACGTCTGTCTATGCTGGATCAGAAGATGAAAGTATCCCATTGAATGGATATGTGCAAAAGATTGAATGGGATAATGTCCCCAAATATTGTAAAAACTCCAGAAAGCTAGGGCATTCTCTGGTTAATTGTTGGACAGCTGAAAAATAAAATATGAGGAGAATTAAGAGAAGAAGAATCAAGCATGGGAATCAAGCAAGGGAAAACAGAATGAGGAAATTATCAGTAGAGTAGAAACACAGGAAAAGGAAATCACGAGAAAAAAAGAAAATTGGCAAGTTCAAAAAACAAAAAGAAATAGGAAAAAGCTAGACAGGAAAATCAAAATGTGAATGAACAATCTCCTCAAGGCCAAGAGAAGGAAGAAGATAACCTTGATCGAGGCAATAAACAAAATGTAGTAAAATGATGAAGAGATGCATGACCAGGAAGGAAAATAAGCTATGATTACTGAGGATGGCCAGGCAGATGAAAGAGGACATAGAACCAGATATTAATATGAGGAATGTCAAGAAGACTAAGAAGAGGAAGAGATGCCAAAAAAGAAAAAATCTGTTAATTTCAAGCCTTCGTTAAGAAGTATCAAGAGGAACATGTCCAAGAATGATGTAAGAAAGCAAACTAATACTCTAGAGACAATAGTAGAAGGCAGTCTCAAGGAATTAGTAACTATGAATACAATAAAGGCAAGGAGGAGTATACTAAAGATAACTCAAATTCTCTTGATACTGAAGCTGAGGTAAATCCTAGAAACTCTATAGCAGCAGGTGAGAGCAAGGAAAATGGATCTAGTATAAAAGAAAAACCACAAGATTCAGAGAGTGTTAACATGGTGGATCAACATGAAAGCTACAAGCAGGAGGTTTCCAACACAAAGTCATCTCCTCTGCCATCTAAAAGAAAAAATCACCCTGACATCCAAGTTGTCGTTGACCTAGGGGATTACAATTTACAAGATAAAGTTATGCAAATCAACACCAAAACTGAAGAGGAAGTGAGTGAGAATACCAGTGAATCCACTTCACCTACCATCGCAGAATTCCTCAACATATAACCAGAAGACCCTGTAGAAACTCGATTAAATCAAGTATCTAAAAAATATGGGATCTCTCCTATTAAAAGATGAAGAAGTAGAAACAGAAATACTAGAAAGAACTAAGATAAAATACAACCTTCCTCGAGCGGAAGGAGTCAAAGTTGATTTTTCCCTATGAAATTTCACGGTTAGTACAATCTTATGGAATATAAGGGGAGTGAGGTCTAAGAAGGCCTTACCTAGATTGAAGAACGTGTGTGACATCAACAAAATAGACTTTATAGACATCATGGAACCCTTTGTCAACAAAAGCAAAATCAAAGAATAAAGGAGATACCTTGACTTTCAACATTGCTACGCTAACATGAATGGTCAATTTGGTATTTTTAGAAGCAGAATAGCAAAGTCATTATCCTAGGAGATGAAGAACAACAAGTTACCATTCAACTCAAGCATGATTTGTATGATCCTGATTTTAACATCACAGCTGTGTATTCCAAATGTACCTCAGTTGAAAGAAAGGATTTGTGGAGTAGCTTAGAAAATATGTACTATACGATCAATGGATCTTGGTGTATTGGAGGAGATTTCAATATTATCATGGATCGTGATGAAAACTTGGGAGGTAATCCTCACAAAATGTCTAGGAGCTTTGACTTCACAAACTGTATGGACAACTGTGAGGTCTCAGACATTGGCTTTATAGGCCCCAAATTTACATGGTGCAACAACTGGAGACCAAGGAAAAGAATTTGGAAGAGACTTGATAGAATCTCCATCAATAACTTGTGGGCTCAATTGTTTCAAACATGCAATGTCAAACATCTAACAGATCTGGGTCTGACCATAGGCCCATCCTATTCAAATGTCACAACAATTTATCTCATAATATCAAATACTTCAGGTTCTTAAATTTTTGGACTAATCAACCAGGATTTTATAAACTTGTTAGTGATATCTGGAACACCCCTATTCAGGGCAACCCCTATGTTGAGACTTCAGCAAAAGCTTAAAATGTTGAACAGGAAACTTACTCAATGGTCCGGAGATTTGGGAATATATATGACCATGTTAACAAGTGGGAAGCAGAAGTGGAACTTTTAGAAGAACTTTACTAGGAGCATAATACTGAACAGAGTAGAGAGAACTTAAACAAATGTCAGGTCGAGTATATAAGATCAATCTATGCAAGAGTCACTCTTGAAACAAAAATCCCAAATACATTAGTTTGAAGAAGGAGACTGCAACCCAAAGTATTTCCATAGTGTCATCAGAGAAAGGAGGAGGAAGCTTCAAATTTATAGAATCAAAAACCGCAAAGGAAATTGGATCAGAAGTGAGGAAAAAATTACAAAGGCTACTATCAAACACTATGAGAAGCTTCTTAATCTTACCAAAAAGGATTTGAATCTGAATATCATTGATTGTATCCCTAGGTGTATCACTGATGAGGAGAATGACATCCTTAACTATATACCCATTGGAAGAGGAGATTATAGAGGCTATTTTCAGTATCAGTGGTGATAGTGCTGTTGATCCTGATGGTTATAATGGAACATTTTATCATAGTTCTTGGAACATCGTTAGATATGACATCATTCAATTTTTCCAAGCTATCTTCAATGGTAAACATTTGACTAAGTTTTTTTTTCCATACGAGCCTTTGTGTTGATTCCAAAAGTGGAAGCCCCTGAGACTTTCTCAAAGTTAAGGCCTATTAGCCTTAGAAATGTCTTGAACAAGATCATTACTAAGATTCTGTCCAAAAGACTAAACCCACTCTTGCCCGAACTAATCTCTTATCTTCGTCAAAGACAAATTGATCACAGAAAATGCCCTTCTTGCTCAGGAGATTGTTCAGGGTATAAAGGGCCCCAACAAATGGGATGATATTGTGATTAAACTAGACATAAAAAAGGCATATGATAGGATGTCCTGGGACTTCATTACTGTTGTGATGGAGAAATTAGGCTTCTCACAACAATAGATTAATATCACGAAGAATCTACTTTCCAGTGCTTGGTATTTTATTATCCTTAATGGTACCAGACATGGTTTCTTTACATACTCTAAGGAGTTGAAGCAAGGAGATCCTCTCTCTCCTTCCTTGTTCATTCTAGGCTCAGAAATTCTCACCAGATCTCTTAACAAGTTTTTTGAAGACGACAATTTCACTCCTTTTAACATGCCAACAAGAGGTCCTCAAATTAATCATCTCGCTTAAGCGGGTGATATTGTCATCTTCACGGTAGGCAACAATAAATCCATCAAGCTCATCATGAATAATATCAATAACTATGGTAAGGTATTTGGGCGAAAACTCAATGTCAATAAGAGCTTCTTCATTACAGCTCCTAATACTAAAGCTGGAACGATTAATAGAATCAGGAGAACCACTGGCTTCATGGACAAACAATTTCCTCTCAAGTATCTAGGATGCCCTATTTATGTAGGAAGGAAGAAAATTTGCTACTTTGAGGAGATGATTGCCAAGATTATTAAGAGAATAAGCGGATGGCAAGGAAGAATGATATCGTATGGATGGAGAGTGGTTATTATTAAAAATATTCTACAATCCCTCCCTCTATGCACTCTTTCTGCAATGTCTCCTTCAAAAGTTATGCTTAAACTCATTGAGAAACACTTTGTTAGATTCCTCTGGGGTTCACATGGTGATAAGAACAAATTTCACTGGAGTTCATGGAAAAACTTATTCTTTCCAAAAGGAGAGGGATGGATAGGCATTATAAGAATGGAGGAGATTAATGACATTTGCTCAATCAAGAGGTGGTGGAGGTTCAAAACATGCCCCTCATTATGGGTTGTTTTTATGAAATCAAAATATTGTATTAGAGCACACTCTGTTTCTAGATCTATTACATCTAGGAACTCACACTCTTGGAGAGGTATGCTTCAATTTAGGGACAAAGCTGAAAAGAATATATACTGGAATATTAATACAGGGGAATGTAGCTTCTAATGGGATGATTGGACAGGTAAAGGACCACTCGCTAAAATAGTCAATCATTCCAGAACACCTGGGAAAATTTCAGTTGCAGAGTTCTTTAGAAGTGAGGGATGGGATATTAATAAGTTGAAAAGAGTCATTCACATTGAAATTGCTCAACATATTAGTAGTATCCCAAGAGGAAGAAAGGATCAAAATGACTATGCTATTTGGAGGCTCACTGAGGATGGTCAATACTCTAATACCACTGCTAGGCACATGGTACGAACCACTAAACAGAAATATCCCATTCTTGGCAAAGTTTGACACAGTTATATTCCTTTCAAAATGACTTTTCTTATTTGGAGGATGATTCAAAGAAAGCTTCCTTTTGATGACACTATCAAGAGGTTTGACAATCAACCAGTTTCAAAATGCAATTGTTGTAGTATCCCTCAATGTGAAAATATCCGGCATGTTTTCTTTGATAGTGAAGGTGCTATTAGTCTATGGAAATTCTTTGGAAATCCTCTGGGAATCCAATATATCTCTGGTTCCATTAGTGGTGTTCTCACCCAATGGTGGCAGAAGAAACCAAAGAGTTTAGTACATAAGACGATCTTACATATAATGCCAATCTTTGTTTGCTGGGAACTTTGGAGAAGCTATACCTCGTGCAAATTTGGGGATGGTATAAAGTTTAATCAATACAAAATGAAACCCCAAATTCTCTAGAATACCAATAATACTAGGAGTGTTCGTCGGTCGGTATGGTACGGTATTTAGACATTTCGGTTCGGTATTTTTGGTATTCGGTTTCGTAAAATTCTATACAAATACCTTTATTAATTAAATTCGGTATAGTTCGTTTTTTTCCCTTTCGGTTTTGGTTTATTCGGTTCGGTAACTTCGGTTTATTCGGTTTGAATACTAACTTCTGCGTAGAGTCATAGAATATAATATTCTTAATTAAAGTACTCAAAAGTACAAACTAAAAATGTTTGTTGATAAAGGTTTTATCCAAAACCAGTAAAGATCAACCCAGAGAGAGAAAATTGTACATAAAGGAATAAATTTGATCATTAGAAATGTCTTGTTACTTTCTTAGAGTTACTTGATGAACTTAGAGAATAAAGGAAAGTAAAATTTTAGATTTTTATATTTATGTTATAATTAATAATATTGTGCAATATAATATATTTCGGTAGGATATCGGTATTTCGGTATTTCATTTTAAAATACCTAATACCAATTTTTTTTTAAATTAAACCAAATACCATACCGAATACCAAAATATCGAATACCAAATACCAAAATTTTCGGTTTCGGTACGGTAATTCGGTATTTACCAAATTATGCACAGCCCTAAATGCTACTATGAACAAGAAGTTTCCCTCTATTGTCACTCATAATAATTGGTATAGGAACTGTGAGTTAGTTGAGAGACTTAAACCTATACCAAGTTGGAGGTGTGTATTATGGGAAATGCCTCATCATGGAAAACCGAAGCTTAACATCGACGGGAGTTTCAACAAGCAAAGTGGCAAAGCAGGGATAGGAGGAGTTTTCAGAAATGATGAAGGAGAATTTGTCATGGCTTTCTCGATTCCTATCATCTGTAGTAATAGCAATATTGTGGAGTTGAGAACGATTAAATTTGGGTGCCAGTGGTGTGTTAATAATAGAATCAACAGCTTCATGGTAGAAATTGATTCTTTGGTGATTCACAACATGCTACAAAATAGAACATTGCATAATTATACACTAAGGAAGGATATTGAAGACATTATTGAGAACTTAGAACATATTAATGCCTTTATCAGTCAATTCTATCGAGAGGCAAATCAGGTTGCAGATTGGTTTGCAAAAAATGTCACTACATCAATCGAAGGCATCATCCACACGAATTTCCATCAAAATTCCCAAATCTGCCAAAGGTCCTTTCTTTATGGATAAATGGCAAGTACCCTCTTTTATAATTAGATATGAAAAGTCCAACTTTTATATTAGTTAAGTTGTGTATATACTTCTATCTCAGCTAGCCTATTCGTCCTACACAAATTTGAGAATGCCATAAGGAAAGATGAGGCAATACAGGGAGGGATATATATTTCGATAATAAGCCTTTCATAGTTAAGGCTTGGAGCCTTGAAATGGAGTTTACCAGAGAAGAACTATACACAGTTCTTATATTCCCAGGGCTGGAGTTCAAGTATTACAGCCCTAAAGGTTTGAGCAAAATAGGCAGCCTTGTAGGCAAGCCACTGATGGTTGATCGAAATACAGATAAGAAGGTTGGTTTGAGCTTCGCTAGATTGTTAATGAAAGTGGATATGAATGCAGATTTACCAGATGTTGTGCTATTTAGGAATGAAAAAGGAAACGTGATAGAGAAAAAAGTAGCTTATGACTGGGAGCCAACATTATGCAACTTTTGCAAACATATGGACATGCAGAGGAAGTATGTAAAAAGAAGAATGTTCATAA